GAGCAACTTGCTAGCAAGATGCAGCCCTATTTATCCTTCTAAGGACAACAATAGCAGGAGTAAATGTTAAACTAAAGGAAGGAATAAAAAAAAAAACCCCAACCCAGCCGCTCTATTTGTGCTATGCCGAGATGCATTTCTTGGCAGCCCCAGAGATTCAACAGTCTGGTATTTATCACGACGAAACGCAGCAATGTCTGATGATTCCATGAAGGAAAATAAAGAGACTGAGCATAAACTGCAGACTGAGAGATAAAGGCACATTTTTACGGCAGGCAGCTGCCAAAGTGCGGGTACGTCAAATCGGCCCCGTGCTGCAGCGGAGGAGGGTGGCACGGGACAGGGCAGAGAGGGGAGCAGAGCCGAAAGCCGTGATAAATGGGACGGTTTAATACCAAGGAGGAGAATTAGGCAGCCTGCTTAATCACATTACTTAACACTAGCAGGATTATTTTTAAGGAATTTACCCCTCCTTCATCTCCCATGGGGTAATGCTGCAATGTGCTGTCGTTGGCTATATGGAGGCTATTTAAGATCTTTCTTTTTTGCAACGAGCCCCTGGCATGGTGTTCAGCCAGAGGAGTCTGTCCAGCGGCACCCGGAGCTGCAGCCGAGATTTAGCATTGACCCGAGTCCCTCAGGGACATGGTCTGCCCCTTGAGGCGTGTGCTGGATTTGGCCCTGGCTCTGGTTGAAGGTGGGTGCTTGGCATGACCCCTCCGCAATGTGCCCTGACGCGACGGGGATGGGTTGCACTGCTGTAGACCCTCTCTATGAACAGGCTTAACACCCTCAGAAGGGTTTGGGGGGCAGAGAGAAGGAGAATTTCTCTCTTGGAGGGTGGGAAATTCCAGTCTCAGTTGGGAGTTATGATGCTAGGATTACTGAAATCAAAGAGTCGAAGAATAGGTTTTATTATTGAGTCTGAAAGGCTCAGGGAGTTTGAAAAGTTCCTGGTGCAAGTGAGACAGTCACTGTACAGCTTCGGTCAGGGTTGCTTGAAGTTAGGGTTAGGATTTGGGAACAGAAAGGTACAAATCTCTGTTATTGCCGAGTCTGTAAAGCCTGCTAACCTACGAGACACATGGGGAGATGGAGGCTCCCGTTGGTTATGGAGAACCCCTGCTGTGTTGTTGAGCAAGGAGAGATCATCAGTTTAACTTCAGGGCTACGGTTATGAACCGGGTTAAGATTTCAGTTCAAAAAAGGAAATGTGCTGTTGCCTGGACTGTTCTGGACATCGCACAGGCCACGTTCTTCGCTGAAGGATGAAGGATGGTGATGAAATTCATTATTCTGTACAGAGGGAGAGGAGCTCCTGGGTTTTAGCGGTTGTATTGCTGTAGTGGAAGTCCTCCATTTCCCTGACACAAGCACAGAGCTGAAGTAACACACGATCCTTCTCTTTTGGCTTCATCTCATCCTTTTACAGTACAGCATATTTGATGCAAGATTCGAGGGAGTGATGAGTTGCACTCTAGAACTGGCATCTCCTAACAGCAATTCAATACAAACATATGGATATGCTGCATATGAGATAGCTCTTACATTCTTCGTAGGGTTAACACGGGTAGTAGCATGAGTCTCTGCCTGGCAAATTCTTCCGACAGATGCTTTCCTCATCCTCTCTGCCCCAGATAAAACCACCAGCCTTTTTGGATCAATATTCTCCTCTCATGCAGGCAAAGAGATTGCTGAGTTACCCCAGTAGCCTCCTAAGCCGGAGTGCAGACCCCGTCATTCAGGAGTGCCAAGAGCATCAGAAGCAATTAAAGAAAAATGAGAATTGATTTGAAGAATGTAATAATCATTCATCCAGCTGGGGAAAAAAAAAGGATTCTAGCATTGATATATTAGAAAGAGTAACATTTACTCTCTGATAAGCATTATGGCACCCACAGAAGTAAGTCTGAATACCTCAAGGACTTGCACCGTAAATGATTTCATTCTAAAGAACAAGAAAACAATGATGTTGCAAATCAATCCAGGCAGCCAGAAGTAGGCAGAAAAAGGGTTTCTGATTCCAGCCTTGGCCCTAAGTAAGAAGCCAGCTATCTCCCTGGACCCTGTTCCTGCCCTTCCATAGCAATTTTGCTTTCCAGCCTATCACGCCCAGCTTGTATTTGTAATCGCTCTTGCAGCTACTCTTGGAAATACAGGGATGTTCACCCTTCGCTGTTCTCATGTCTTGTCATGTTGAGGCAGATGTGCTCGTGGTAGTGTAAACCTAAATGGGGATGGGGATCTCCGGGTACAGGGGAGAGAAAACCAAAGATGAGCAACAAAGCAAGGTGGGTTTGAGGGAGAAAATGGAAACGGCCACAGCCTGGAAGTGTCTCTGCTTGTGCTTGCCCTTGGATGGGCAGTTTTGTCGCTCAGGGCTCAGCTTCTCGTTGCTCTAACAAGGGACAAGGAGCTTCATTGATCTTCCTAAAGCATTCAGTAAGCGCCACATTTTTCTTTCATGTTCTGGATGTCCGTGCTACAGAACACATACATCAAACCCTGCCTGTAATGGAGTAATTAAACGGCACTGCTAAAGGGCTGTCATAGGACGGGACTGATTACAGCTCACCCAGAAATGTCTTCCCAAGTCCCAGGCCCTTTGACGTGATTCTCCCCTCCTTTCTCTGAATTTCTTCCTGCATTAATTTCAGCCAGTCCTGGGATTATTTGAAAAAGGGCCTTGGGGGACTTGTTCAAAGGCACTGCCACTGCGGACGGCTTTGCTTTCTGAACTGAAGCATTTCACTCCTATCTGTCTGGACATATGAGCTGCTCAGCACTGCTTCATTAGGCAAGTTATTTTTAAATTCCCAGAAAGAGCAAAACATTGAGAGAGGAATTAGCATTTGCTGCACCCCCCCCCGCCCCCCCCCGCTAGCCCTGTGGTTAACTGGACGGCCGTACCCGAAGCCACCGACACACACTCAAGCTGCCCAGGAGATGTTACAAATCACGCCTGAAGGTAGGGGTCGGTGAGTGAGTATCAAAACTGTGGTTTGGATGTAAATAGGAGGACGCCCATCAACACTGAATAAGAAAATGTCTTTGAAAGATCTCTGCTCCCTCCAACCCCATCCTGTGTTTCCCACTTTCTCCCTGCCCCGTTTTTCTCTTAAGGACTTTGACGCTTAAAAAAAAAAATAAAAAAATCTCCATTCTGGATTCTCAACACAAATAAATGAAAAGGTGAAGCCTGCCCAGGGTCCTTGCTTCCCCTAAACAATAACAAAAACCCAGCGGGCACCCAATACTTTCAAAATGCCAAGGGACAGCAATAAAGCTGATGTTATTTGGGAGTGCTCGCGCCTAGTAACGTGGTTTAAGTTTCCCAGTGGCAAATACTGCTCTTACAGCATAGAGTTAAAGCAAAAGGCACGGCAGTAAAACTGTTAGGGGCACGTTTTGGCAGCTGTCTTTTTGCAAACGCTGATTGCCCTGCGGCTTGTGCTGCTCAGGGCAGCTATGGCTCACACTGATAATGTTACGCAGGGGGGGAAAAAAAAAAAAAAAAAGCGTTGGAAAGCTGTAGCCCGTTGCGGATAGGGCCTAAATCTGCAAAGGGAGGAGAGATGACTCAAAATGGCCTTTTCGCCTAGCTGGGAGCACGGACATATTGCAGCTAAGGCTGCCCGTGCCTGCCTGCTTCGCCTCTTCCCTTCGCCCCTGCCGGCAGCCGCAGTGTTCCTGTATTTATTCCGAAGAAATCTAGCAGGAGCTGTTCTAATAACCTGTTCCCAATTCCAGCCTAATGAAGGCTGCCGGAGTCCTCTGAATTAATTCTTGTTCAAACTAGAGTGTTTCCTTTGGAAGGAAAAAAAAAAAAAAAAGAAATCTCATTAAGTATTTGCAGCGATTCTTCAGTGACAGGCAGTCTGCCACAGCCGGCAAATTGTGGGTGGACGCTTTCAGAGGACAACTTTCCTCACCGCTAAAAATACACGGCAGCCTATTTTGATGTCCAGCGACCAAACACCCCTTTGTCAGATTAAGAACCCTTTAGTGTTAAATCGGCCATGTGACTTCCTAGAGACTGCATTTAAGATGTCCCTTAACCTTTCATTTCTTAATCAACCGTGTTCCTTGGGTGTTTTCTCCTGAAGGTGCGTTTTCCAGCCCTCAGGGAAGCCTTCCTGGAGCCCACAACAGAGGTAATAAAACCCCCCCTTGTCTTCCTTGGTGTCTCCCTTTCTGGTTCCATGGAAGCATGGGCTCCCCTGGGCAGAGCATCTCATTAGGAGCTCGTCTTCAGCTGATTATTCCTCTTCTGAATCACTGTTTTCTACGACTTTGTCACCCACCCCGTAGTCCAGCTGCTGCTCTATTCCTAGGCTGATGACTTTACATCTGGTGGCATTGAAAAACATGTTGTTTACTTAAGCTCAGCTCATTAAGTGATCCAGATTAGGTTTGGTATCAGTGACCTGCCCCTAACTTCTGTGCACCTGCGGGTCACCAGTAATGATTTTATATTTTCTTGTAAGTCACCGACCACACATTAAGCGGTGCGGGGTCAAGAACCGACAGGAAGGGAGCCATGCCTTGATCAGCGATGCTGCTGCTTACGGTCACACTTGGAGATCTATCAGTTGGGTTTCAGTCCAATTAATATTTGTCATATTGACTTCTATCGTTCCTCTTTCTCAGTCAAAATATCGTGAAAGACAAGATCAGATGTCTGCCTAACTGAAGGTTTGTTCTATCAGCACTGCTACTTTAAACCATGACACTAGGGAAAGTATCTGGTTAATTTGGCAAAGCCTACTTCTTGTAACGTTCCAGTATCACCTTGAAATGATTTATTAGTGAGGCCTCTTACCTACCTAACTCTACATTATTTTGCTGGGCATTGCTGTCAGCGTGACAGACACACCACACTTGCCCCAGTAAAGGCCATACCTTCCCTCCACCCCCAGGTGGGCTCAGCCTTCAACCGAGTCTTTTGCAGGGCCCTGCTTTATTGCAAAATTGTGATATCCCTACCACCCCTTTTGCAGGCAGGCTTGTGCATGTTGGTGACCACTCCAACAGGACACAGGTACGAAGGAGTCAGATTTGAAAAGGGAAACTGCGGAGTCAGCATAATGCGAAGTGGTAGGCAGCTTCAGGTTGTTGAATGAGCACGAATTAAACCTTTTGGAAATCCGTCAGCAACTTCCTTTCAGAAATGTGCAACACCACCTCCCTACCGCCAAGTTTCACCCCGACCTGCCAGTTGCTGGGGTACCCTTGGGTATCCTTGATCACAGGATGTCCAGTCAGGTCTTTCATTCACTTTTCAGGACACAAGTAGCTGCAACAGATTTCCTCTGGCCTCTCCTCTAGCAAGCAGCAACTGCGGGAGGCCGGGCCAACTCTCCAGCCTTGTTTGCTGCTGCTCAGAGACAGGTCTCCAACCCAACCCTGCGCCGTGGTGGCAGAGTCACCGTCACTTTGCCCAACGCTGCGGAAACCTTTGTACCTGTGATGTCAAATCCAGTGGCTCCGCAGCCTCCTGCCCTGCATTTTGCACCGTGGTGTCCCCGGGCAGAGCTCAGAGATGTTCTCCGAACCCCAACCCTTTGCTTTGACGTTTCCAGCTCTCGCCTTTGAGAGCTTAGCACCGGTGTCTGGGAACGCTAATACCCAGCAGCTAAGTCACACCAAGTAGACTGGGCTTTCTGTCTAAACAGAGAAAAAAGGAAAATAGCTTCAAGTGTTTTCACACTTAGAACTGAGAGGGGAAAAAAAAAAAAATCTCCTTTTTAGAACGCTTCACCAGTACAGTATTGGGACTGTCTATTTAACTGCAGCATCTTGCAGTTGTGCCGTTTCTTAGCACGTAACAATTCGTTGTTGCTTTTCTTTTTCTGCTCATTTTGAGGAGAGGCAATGGAACAAGGATTACAAAACTGCTGTAGATCCATCCGCATCGGAAAAATCCTGATCCAGAGCGACGAGGAGACGCAACGAGCGAAAGTGTACTACGCAAAGTTCCCCCCAGACATCTACAGGAGGAAGGTTCTTCTCATGTACCCAATCCTGAGTAAGTGCCGTTCATCATTCTGCAGAGTCAGACTCATCTGCACGGTGAGTGCGCTGAGTTTAAAGGAAAACGTCCAAATTTCAGGGGCTTTGATTAGGTTTTTTTGCCTGGTTTAGGTGACATTTATCAGGTTGTGCCAGGATACGTTTTAGTCAGCCTGCACCAGCATGAGCGCAGAGCAAATCATTTGGGCGTTTGTGAGCAAGGTTGAAGCATTAGGACTTGATAGAAATCTAATTTTTTAAATTTTGCCACGAGAAAAGATTCAAACAGTATTTTTTTCCTGCTGTGGAAAGACATTTTTGGATTAATATGACAATCCTAGAGGTAAATTATTTTAAATTAAATACAGTTAATGCTACAAAAAAACCCAAACCTATAAGTGTGGTGAGGAGTTTGTCAGGATGAAGCAACTTTTCTAGTCTAAGATTTAATTCTGGTTCCACACGTGGAGCTCTTAATTGCCATTTTACTATTTTAGATGAGCTTTCTTGCCTCAGGGTGTTAATAAAATCCACCGACTTCAGTGCTTAAACCCTGGCAGAGTTGGCCATTTTAGAGCAGAGCTGCAGTTCCTTCATCAGGAGACCAAAGTTTTCTACGATGAATACACGCTGAGGTGATAGCTGTCCAGTGGGAAAGGACAGCATCACCATTCAGTCACTCACCAGTGTGAACACGGACATTCTCGGGTGGCCTAGGGCAAGCTCTTCAACCGGGGAAGAACAAAAAAAAGACAAATCTCACTGTTTGCCCTTGTAGGTACTGGTAATACTGTCATTGAGGCTGTCAAAGTTCTCGTAGAACACGGCGTACAACCCAGCGTCATTATCCTGCTGAGCCTGTTCTCCACACCGCACGGTAAGTTGAGGTCTTTGCCCTCTCTCAAAAGGTGCCAAATCCATCATCCAGGAATTCCCAGAGATCACGATTTTAACCACAGAAGTTCATCCCGTTGCACCAACGCACTTTGGACAGAAGTATTTTGGAACAGACTGACACGCTCGGGGCAAACGGACATGACTGTGATGTGACAAGAGGTTTCTTTCTACGTTTCATTTTTGTTGAGCTGGTGGAGGGCGTGTTTAAAAATCCTTTTGGCCAAGGGGGTAAATACTTGACTTGATTGGTTCTGGTCAGTAACTGCCTGAACGCTGTGTCAGGTACAACAGCAACGTGCTCCGTCATGACAAAGGCAAGCAGCTCAGTGTCGGGGCTCTATAAATCGCTACGCTCTCTGCTTTAACTTATTTATTCTTCTGTCACCTGTTTTTTTTGGGTGTAACTGGATTTACAGCACCTAACTAGGTAGAGACTGGCAGTAAACGTCATGAGAGAAATCCTTTGGGCCTTTTCCACAATGCGTCACACAGATCTATCCGACAGACTGCACCAGTGGAAGTGGAAATGGATTTTACCCCTTAGAGAGCTATTTGCGTGTTAAAAAACCTACCACGCACTCGGCTGAATGCTTTATCTCTTGTTACCTGCAGCAGTGACTACAGACAGCCTGAGGAATTTCTGTTTTCCACTGCATTTACCTTGCATATTGGACAGAACTTTACGCATCCTGCATTTACCACATTTTGTACACAACTTTCTTTCAGAAGCTAAGGAAAAAAAAAAAGACAATGTAAAAAGTAAATAGCAGCCCAGCTTTAAAAGCACAGGTAGCAGGGGGTGCAGTCACAATTACTGCTTTTACACTGCCCGGATCTCTACTTAACAGCCTTTTTAAAGGCCAGAAATACTAATTAGAAAAACTGTAGTCTCCTTAGTAGGCCATCTGCAATCACGTTTGAGGCATCAGCTGCAATAACGCGCCAAGCAAAAAGATCCCAGCATCTTGAGCAACACTAAGTTTGCCCCTGGGACCTGGCTGCTCATTTACACGGGGTCTTGACGAGCACGGACGCCCAATGTCTTCAGCGAATGCCGCGCTGACGCTGCGCTCCTGGACACCCACCTTCCACCGCAGCTTCCTGCGCTCCGCTCCAGCCACGGGCTGCGGAGGAACCTGCCCCGCTGTTCTGCGGCTCTGGAACGCAGCACAAACGCTGCAAATGCCAGGCGTAGCGCAAGGATCGGCTTGAAGCAAGCAGAAGAGAACAGAATGGAGCTTGGTCAGGCGCTCAGACACGCGGCTTTGTCCACGTTTTTGTTCTGCCTCGTTTTCACACCACTTTTGTATTTGTTTCATGTCTCGTTCTGAAGCTTTCAAAAAATCTGACGCGTGAATATCGATTTGAAGTGGCTCGGAAGCGATCAACCTATTTATTGCTTCTACCTGGACAGGAATTTGTTACAGCCAAGCGAGGCTGAGCTGCTTTTAAGCAAAGGGAAAAACTGGCCATAACCAATCACAAGAAAAGTGACCGAGTCGGAGCAAGTCACTGGGAAACCTTTGAAGCCGTTTCTAAACCTGAGCTGGACAGCTGCGTTACCATCAAGACACCCGTTTTAATAATAATTAGAAGCCAAACCCTGCTTTGACATCCTACCTAGTGAGCAGTGCCGCAGCTCGGCAGCAGGCAGGGACGCTGCCTGCAGATCTCGTAGGCAGCGCTGCTGCTGCGCGGCAGAGAAACGGCGCCGAAAGAACAAGGCGGCTGTAAACACAACCAAGTCCAGACAGGATAAAAGAACCTGCTCAGAAAACTCCTGTAAACCCCCACGGCTTCAGACACGGCTCTGATACTCCTACCTTAAACATACACCTCAGCTGACAGAATGGAGCAGAAAGTCACCGAATCATCTTCCTGGTTTTATACACAAGGAATGGAGAGTTCTGAAAGGCACAAAGAGCACCTCTGTGGGTGCTGAGTTCCTAGACGTTTCCTATTGTGTTTAGCTGCCATCTTCCTCTCCAGATCCCCCTCCAGAACGCAAATGCCAGAAATGAGGCGATGAATTCTACTGCCATCGTTCATCAAACACAGCTTAAGGTCCACCACGAGATTTACATTAGAAATGCAGCTTTACATTGATAGGATTGAGGGGCTGGAGCGTGTCCAGAGAAGGGCAGCGGAGCGGGGAGCTGGGGGTGTTCAGCCTGGAGCAGAGGAGGCTGAGGGGAGCCTTCATCGCTCCCTACAACTGCCTGAGAGGAGGGGGGAGCTGGGGGGGTGTGTCGGGCTCTGCTCCCAGGGAAGGCGTGATGGCACGAGGGGAAATGGCCTCAAGTTGCACCACGGGAGGTTTAGATTGGACATTAGGAAAAATTCCTTCCCCAAAAGGAAGGGGCTGCCCAGGGAAGGTGTCGAGTCCCCATCCCTGGAGGGATTTAAAAGTCATGTAGATGTGGTGCTTGGGGACAGGGTTTAGTGGTGGACTTGGCAGTGCTTAGTTTAAGGTTGGACTCAGTCTTACTGGTTTTTTCCAACCTAAATGATTCTATAGTTCCATGATTCTGCCTGCTCCCCAAAGGGGCTGGGAATTTAAAAGCTCACATATGGAGGGACAGTACCCGAGTATGTAAGTTCTGCTGAGAGCACAGCACTGCAAGACAAACAAGACCTAGATCAGAATTTAGCAAATTACCAAACACTATTAAAAATGCCTCTTCAAGGTGCAAAACTCTCCTCCAGCTCTTTAAAACTCTAGCATGCCAGACCTGCTGATTTAAAAATAACCTCCTGAGATATTGTTTGAATGTAAAATACTTTGTTGTGTAAGACATAAATATGGGCTTCTCTCCCCACTGGAAGAGCAGGGACCCTCCAGCCGCCTGCCTGCCGAAGGAGAGCGCCTGTCGCCAGCGCAGTACAGCAGCGTAGGCAGAGCACTGAGATGGAGAAAAGAGCAAAGTTAGACAGGTAGGAACTGTTAAATCCTTAGGTTTCCTCTCCAGTTTGTTCCCGGATGGTACATTAGCGTAAATTAGCTTCATTTGCCTGCTCAGTACCTGGGCTCTGCTAATACTTTGAATATTTAGGGATTTGAGTTTGTTGGGTCTTTTTTTTTTTAATTATTTTTTTGCTTCAGGTTTAGAAGCTCCCAAGAGATTCAGATTTTTCTCACCTCACTGTATTTGGGTTATTACTTATCTATATTGTGAATAAATTATTTTAGTATCTTTTTAGAAAAAAACCACCAACATTTTTTCTCATCTATCACTGCATACCAAATAACCAGTTTTAAGACCCTGGGGGATCTAAAGCAAATTTATTTACCCTCATCGAAGGAAACGACATTAAACTTACCATGGAAAAGTGGTGTAATTCTCCTTCGCTATACATACATTAGCAAATTGAAAACACTTAAGTATGAATTACACCATGCTTTTGCTATAGATTTTGGATTTTTTCCCCTGTACTGCAAAGTTCTCTATGCAAATATATTTTCCCCTACAAGCTTTTTGAAATACAGTGCTACACCAATCCTAATTTTTTCAAAGCTGTTAAGAAGATACGTGTGCACAGGCCATTAATTGTTATTAATGTCAACTGGATACTGAAATCCACTAAGTGGTTCTGAAAAATCAGAGCTTATTCTGCACCTGTGAGGGCGTTTGCAAATAAACTCCCCCAAATCACACTGGGAGAGGTACTCTTCCTTAGCTGTCTGCCCCGGACCTCAGCTACAAGTTTTTTACTGCTGAAGTAAGGCATGAATCAGCAGAACCCAGCTGCCATCTCTATGCATTGCTGGGTGTTCATCTCCCAGCAAACTCGCAAATATCCACCTGAAGAGTCTGAACTCACCCACAGAGGTAGAGAATAATGTGTTTTATTCATCTGTTGCTTGCTATTTGATGATCTTCAGGACTTTTGGTAAGATTAATCAATTAAAAGTATTGGGGGGAGGAAGAGAAAGAGACAAACAAAACTACTTGTCAGCTGTCATAAAATACCAAGAGGCTGTTCCAGGAGCTTACACCATCATCTTATCCCTCTGTTCAAACAGTAGAATATGCTCCACCTCCCATTTGCTCAATAATCCCTAATGTTTTGCTGCTCAGGTTACTGGTGTATAACAAAGCTGCTTGTATCCTGCTCTGACCTTGCCTGGTATTCAGAAAAGGTAGGGAGAAAACACAGGATTCACTTTCATGCATAAATCCCTCTGTCACAGGCACATCGCCTCCTGTTTCTTCAGTTCTTTGAGGTCTGCCACTGGAGCGCTCTGCTGGACGTCCTGCTGATTTACTAATTGCCAATACTCACACTTGGTGGCGGTCTTACCAATTGTCGGCACGAGGCTTTCCATGCTAAAGTGGGTCAGTTGTGTGCTGATCATCTACCCCCCTGAATTATCGATGTTTGACAGCAGAATTAATTTTTTGCCTGCTTCAAAGATGTCTGCCAAAAATGAAAGTGTACATGCGCACGTCGCCACAGGGTCTCTCTCTTCGGGGAAAACAGTTTCTCCAATCATGGGAACCTGTCAGAGGTAGAAGCACTGTCTACATAAAAAGATCCGTTTGTCACGGGTCAGGAACAAGGCAACTTTTCTCAGTGACAAATATTTTGGTTCACTAAAACCGCACAAGTCCTTTGTGACATTGTATTTACCGTTCCCGATTTTTCTTTTTTTTAATTTTACTCACACTGAGCAGTCAAACCAGATCTATTAGGTCATGGTTTGACCCTACAGTAAATCCGACTGTAATGCAGGGTCTGTATTGCAGCAATGCTGCAAAGGATTGATCTGCTTTAAACTCACTCTCCCAACTCCAGTTTGCTTTTAAAAATGCAACAGGTTAACCTTCTGCAAGCAATTTTTATGCTGGATTAGGTATCACCTCTCCGTCACTCCAACGATACGCTGTGTCAAGTAGCATCTGTCTTTCTGCAGCTGGAATAAACTTCTGTGCTTTATGCTCTGGTTAATCCAACAAAAATAGAGTTGGGAACCTACGCCTGCTCCAGATGAAACTGGGACTGCTTCGGCTCACCATTACTAATGATTCTGTATCAGGGCCTTCAGTTCAGCGAGTTTCTAACCCGCTTCCTCTCCTTGTCCCATCCTGTAGCAAGTAAAACTGATGAGAAATATGCCCTGTACCTCACCCCTCCATTCTCTCTAGCATGAACACTGTAGCTGCCTTTAAGTCCTCAAGTCTGAAGGGGGGGCATTTAAATTCTTAATATTTAAAACCACTTCATTTACATTAAAAGTTGGGCTTGTAGCTTTCTACCCATTTATGGTTCAACAAACTTTAAATGCAACCCACCCTTAAACTTGACGCTACTTGTTAGAAACTGCCAAAAGGAGAAACAAAGGGGTCTTGTG